GTGTGTGTGTGTGTGTGTGTGTGTGTGTGTGTGCATGTATATATAAGCATTGCATGTAGTATGCAAAGAAAATTATCTTATACTTTTATGTGCATACATAAACTAACCAAACAAATATGCCAAAGTACTGCATATTTAGGCCATAAATTTTATAAACTATTTCTTAATCATGCCAAAAGCTTATCCTATAGAACACGAGTACCACAACTGTGCTCAATAGATAGCTACAAAAAAAAAAAAAAAAAAAAAAAAAAATGAAAAAAAGTAATAGAAATAATAATCATATATGCAATTAGGTCCTAGAAAGAGAATGGTTGAAATAATAACCATATATGCAATTAGGTCCTAGAAAGAGAATGGTTGTTATGATGTTTCCCCATCTAAAGAAAAAGAATTGCTCCAATAGATTCTCAAATAGATTTTCTTTGGCCCACCCCCCTCTTTACCACATGAAATATTTTGTCATACATATAGGGGGCCTAAGATAAATAATAAATAATTCGAGTGCAAAAATTCAAAAGCACAAAAAGGCCTTAAAGATTGTGAAGGAGAAAGTGCTTGTGGATGAGTTGAGAAAGCCACCTTTTTAAAATTTTCTTATTATTACATACATACATATATATAAAGTGCTTGTGTGGTCAGTGACGCCAGCCGTGACATATTGGTAGAGCAGCATATTTGAAGGTCATAAGTCCTCTCAGGCCACGGGTCTAAATCTACATGAGGGAGGTTGGGTGCTCGTATAATAGCCTCAGATCATTCTTCTTAAATATATATATATATACAGAGAGAGCGACTGAGAACTTTCATTTTCGAGTGGATATAAGCCTCATTAGTTAAAAAGTTAACATTTTCTCTCTTTCACCTTAAAAATAAAAAGAAAAAAATGTATTAATAATTAATAAGAACAATAGATAAAATTGTACATTAAAAAATGATTCTATTAATCAGAGAGTAACCACAGCACAAGATGAAGATAAGATGATGAAATAGATTTAGGTAATGTAAGATTATGTCATGAAGAGTAGATGTATTAATTAAATCAAAAGATAAAATTGATTAATCTAAATTATTAAAAAAAGAAGATAGATAGGACTTGATATGGTGAAAACCTCCATTGAAATTATAGTTAAACAAATCCACAAATATAATAAATGAACAAGTAAAATTGATCTAATTATCGATTTAATGAAAAATTAGTCATTCATAAAAAATAATTTGAATAAGAACATTGAGATATCATATAATATCATTAATTGCATCATATAAAGAATGAATAAATAAACAAAAAAATCTTATAAATTGTTCGCACCCAAAAACACAGATATGTTTCGAAGAAATATGTATTAACAACATGATCACATAAATATTATTTTACAAAAATATGGCTAAAAATATTTAACATAAATATTTGATAAAGAATTTTTGTAAATTACAATAGTCAAATTAGCATCACGGCTAGCAAGCTAAGTAGAAAGTCTCACATCTCCATCTTCAAAATTGCATGGTGAATAGCAATCTGCATGATTAAAAACAGTACATTAAAATACTTCTACAAATTACAAACACACACACACACACACAGTAATATATATATATATATAT